CACACCATGGAATATCCCACTTGTCACTCGTATATAATAGCTCTACAATGCTTTCTCATGACACACCATGGAATATCCCACTTGTCACTTGTATATAATAGTTATCTAATGCTTTCTCGTGACACACCTTGAAATATCCCACTTGTTTCTTGTATATAATAGTTATACTCACCTGAAGTATTTTGTGTCCACTAGAAAATACAAGTGCATCATGGGAAATTCCATGGTATGCCAATCAAAACTCACGATGGTATTATAGGACGTTTGCAAGATGGCGTCATTTGACTCTCACTACCATAATGCTTCGCGAAAAAAAATGTAAATTTTTATTCCATCATGAGAATAGTTATAAGACGATTGGTGCTAATCAACGGAATAGTAGTCTGCTAGTAGAGGTCAATGACGCTATCATGCAAACGTCCTATATATTTGATAACTATCATACATACAACATACTTACAGGTATATGTTGGGGTCTAGAAAGTTCGAATCTCCTGGCTGTGGAAATATTTCTTCAATCAGGGAAGATGTCGAAGAGGCACTTGATAATGTCGGGACAGGAAGATAAACGGTAGGAATATGGAACCTTTCTATATCTTCTGGCGATGCCGAGCGTTTTTGCATTTTTTCTCTTAGCCGTTTGAAAATTAGATACGAAACAGCCAAGACCAATACTGAACCCACGACACCTGCGGTTACTGCAACTAGGACAAAATAAGAAACGAGTATATGAAACCTGATTGAACACGAGCCTTTTTGAGAATGATGAGGTTTAATCATTACTCGTGTACTTAGCGTGGTAGTAGATGTAATGCGCAATAGATCATTTTTATGAATGTCGCGCAGTATAAAATAATACATTATTATTAAAATCATTAGTAATTATTATTAAGACCAGAGAAGCCATAGAAAATTCTCGTGGTGAGAGCAACACGTCAAAGAAACTCAACCCGTATTATGTGGTGTGAACTACACAGCGATGTGAGACTGAAGGGTCACGGAAACTTATTCCAAAACATTAACAGCTCAAGCACGGAGGGTCAGAAAAAAACCTCTGCTCGCAGGGTACCAATATCGAGACTGTCGTAACGTAAACAGTGGTCAATGACGTAAACAATTAACAATTTCAATAACATTCACATCAATAAGAAAATCTATATTCTAGAATTTCTATATTCTGTCGTCCAATAGATGGTGTTCTAGTCATTTAAATCTGTCCACAGTTTCTAGTTGAGCTGGCTCATTTTTTACGCGACTTGGAGTTGTGAAAGACTTGTATGGCACTCTTCTTCAGTCGTTTCATCTAAGGCTCGTAATTTACTTATTACGCATGTTCTCATTTAAATATAGTTAGATTTAGAACTTTCTTGAAACTTCTCTTTCAGTGAATTGCTTGACTTGCTACATAATCTGCTTACCCCACATGGGAAGGGAGTCTTTGTGATTCGTTAATCTCCCCCTTGCTGTTGGCACAGGATAACTCATTTCTCTAAACACCGCCTTGTCCATCTGTAAGACATAAAATAGATATTGTATATTTTTTACTCTTCAAGCAAACTATGAATGAATGAACACTTTTATTTAAACAGGGTAATCCCTTCAGTTACATGGAATGTATATCTGCTATCAATAGGAGCCCTAATAAATATAAGATAATAAATAATTTAGGTTAAAAGCTAAAATATGAATCTATAGTAATAAAATCCAAAGTATGTTAATAAGATCTAAAATATAATACTAAGGCCGAGGTTAGACGTCGACCCTACATGCCCCGAATCCAACGCAAACGAGAACTAGTGATTAATGGTAGAAACATTGGGCATCATTTTAATTTGGAGTCCAATATCAAAGATTTCCTGTTTGAACTCCGTCTGAGAAGGCACGAGATCACAGACAATAAAGCAATGGGTTCAAATGAACTATATAAAATGCATAGGCAGTCTACGTATATAGTTTATTCTATTAGAGCGGTTTTCGTATGAGTGCGAAACGATACGGCAAATTGGCGGCCGTACTGTACCCGTACCGAACAGTAACCGCAACTACCGTATACTCCCCACTCATACGATCACCATTCTCTTGCAAGGATAATGTTTCATTCTAGCAATTGCAATAACAATGGTGCAGAATGGTAAAAATAACTATTAGTTAAAGACAGATAATGATAATTTATAAATGATAATGATAATGATAAATAAGCTTAAGGAGTTCGTTAAATATAATTTTTAATATTTTTCACACTGATATCAGGCTAACTCTCTGAGTAAATGAGTCTATAGTCAAAGAACACAGTGGTATTTTAGGAATTCGAAAAAAGGCTAAAATGAAACTTAAAGTTTCAGTTTCAAAGTTAGAATTGATAGAAAGCTTAAAAGCTTTTAAAACCCCAAAAATCCCTAAATGTTACTTTTACCTCACATATATTGTTGGAGTATTGAGGCGTATCCACAAGCTAAAAATAACCGGGATTGCTGCGTTAGGGAATTACGTGTTGAAGAACATTCGAATGTTCATTAGTAGACAACAACTTCCATTCCTCTTCAATTTGTTCCTCGTGAAATCAAAAAAGTCCGAAGCAATATTTAATCTAGAACTTCATTAGAAAATATTTAAATTTATAAATTATGAAAATAATAATTATAAGTACGTAAAAGTACAGGAATAAATTGTTGATGACGAAATCAGAAAATCGTTGAATTGAAAGCGAGTGTTCGCAAAAAGCAAAATCGTGTCCAGCAAAGCATCATTTGAGAGAAAGAAATAAAAGAAACAGAAAATAGATCGTAAAATGTTCTTACTTTTTGTTATCGTCTTGTACTTCCAAACTTTCCGCTTTCTGTTGAAGTGGTTGACTCATTGTTAACGCCGCAAAAATAGAATATCTACGAGAAAGCTATTGCTTAACGTTTTACCGTATTTTAACTAAAAGCCAGCCAAGGGGAATTAAACCGCCTCAGTGAAAATATGATCGTTTTCTGCTGACGACAATATATTTGACGTCATTAGTTGATGTTAAGATCACTGTCCAGAAAGTCTGAGTCAATATCGAGTAGAACGTTTTTCCGCAATCACAACGCAGTGATATTGTTTTCAAGTCTCCTTCGAACGATCAAAAAATTGAAGATGGGATCTTGGCAGATTAAGATTCGATAAGAGTAAAGAGAAGTTTTCGTAAAGCCTTAAACTGGAAGCTGAGCTTGTCTAACGGCACTAGTGTGACGGCACGATAAACAACTATCGCTAAACTCGTCTTACCTCAAACCATGTAGCAGCAAGTTTAGAACGGACACAACATTTGTTTTACTATTGCTATTAAGGACCTAAGCAGTTTATTCCCCGGCTGGCAAGCTCGTGCTCGACAAGATACCTGTTACTGTGAGTGAAGGATACCATGTATTACAGACATCTGTCCTAGGGCGTTCTCTTTATATAATCCGTGTACAATCAACCCTATAACAGACATATCATGGGAAGTAGTAATTTTAGTCCTGCCACATTTGAGTCAAGAAATGTCAACACGAGCAGGCTTATTTTGTACCTGTGAGGTGGTAGATGCAGATACTAATGACAAACACTTTACAAATGAGATCCCCAGCTTGCCGGCGATGGGGGAGATGAATATAAATTAAGCTATCTTGAAAAAAAATGAAAAAACACAAGTTAAAAAAAGCCTTCACACCCCATCGATAACCTGAAACAACCTCCGGGTTGATCTAAGTCAGGGTATGGCTAATTAAAGGCGGATTACAGATTCTGCAACCACCTCGGGGCTGATCAAAGTTTTAGGCTACAGGGCTGTAACTCACAGGATAGAATTCGAACTTTGTGGGGGAATTTGTGAAGGGAAAAAAATGGAGAACCTTGGGGAAAATCCTCGCTGTGCAACCCATCAAACTCTACCGATTCACCGTGAGATGCCGAGTCCAAAAATTGAACCCCAGACCCCAGAGGTGTGAGGCGAGCACAAACCTGTAGTTGGAGCGCGCCTTATCGGTTTCTATATTTGGTTTACCGTTTGCTTTTAATACACTTGAATTGAAGTGTCGGTCTGTTACAGGAAGGACAATAACTTCATCGTACCTTTAAAAAAATACCTAAGACTAAAGTAACTTTACCTCTACCTTTAGTTTGGGGGAGATTGAATGCAAAAATCATGGGATTTGATTAAGAAGTCAATCTGGGCTATGACGTAGTTCGAAGTATGTTCAGCAAGTCTTTGTTRACAGTTCTGGAAACGGCGTAACGACTGGTGAGCTTACACGGAATCAAGAAGCAAGCTGTTGTCAAATCTTTACCGTATGTCTGGTAACATCTCAATATCTTATATCAGCCTAAACTTTTACGACTGACTTAGGTAGAATTCAAACCAAATGAATTTACAAAGAWACATGCATGGTGTTTCAGACCTACCTTTGGTTATATTTTCATTTTTTTTCTTCTATAGGTACATCCATCATCAACACAGCCCAAACACAAACCAACAACTACTGCAAACTCACACGAAACGGTCAGGATTACTTTCTAGATCCGTTTTGATTTAACTTCACTTCAGTGCCAATTGAAAAAAATGAATGATGACATTAAATCATGTTTCTAAAATGCTTCCAGTAATTACGAATACTCCTGACACTTACTTTCATGTTCAGTTCTGTATGCTCTAATCTTAACCAAGTGAAGTATTTTTTGCTAAAATCCAAAACTAAACTCACGACTCATGATACGTAATCTGTATTTTATTTTTAGCGCTGCCAGCGTCGAGATTGAATTATTTTAAATGTTCAGGTGTTCCTGATATTTTTATACTCGCTTTCTCGACTCGTCAAAACAACCTTAACTATTCTTGGGTCAGTAGACATTCGTGTTCGATTCGTGTTTTATGAATTGAGTGTTGTAAATAGTGAAGACTGTAGTGGTGTCAGTGCGTGTGGAGCGATGCTCACAGAAGACTCCCGTACGGAGGGTGATGGTCGTAATAGAGTTTGCACTGCACTGTATTGTGTTGGCCTTTGAGGCATAAACGCTGTTGAGCTGATCAACATTCAACTGTCATGACCTGCTATCTCTAAAAATAATTGACGTGCAATGGTGGATGAGAGTCAATAAGTACCCTCGATCAATATCGAGCCTTCCAAAAATAATTCAACACAATATTAATAACACAATCCGACCCCTTCTCAAAGTTATGACATCGGAAAATAGAACCAATGTTAAGTTTTAGATCCTTTCATTAGTTTCGACTCTTCAAAATTTTTTTAAAAGCAACTTCCTTGAGCTTGTCAATTCGAAGATCAACTGTACCTCAATAATAGGATTCACAAAAAGAGATTATTCTGTACGTCGTTATATATTTGTCATGCAACTCGATAATCATCAATACTATATACTACATCAATGATATACCTGCACTTTCGGTCTCTTCGTACAGCGGGTACGTATTAAAAGAGTAACACTATTTTTTATTTATTATTTGGAATGACGTAGTAACGAAATATCTCCAAGTTACCTTTGCTCACAATCCCAGTGATCAAAATCCAATCGATACCCTGAAACAACCTCTCAGCTACTCCACCCTTGAATTCATTTTTCAATAACAATGATAGTGAGCATGATGGCACGCTCAAGTGTGGTACATACACCCTGGTTATCAAAGTTTTTTCCTCGTAGCTTCTTCTCGATACAAGGCTTTTCCTCATTTGTTATAACAACTACTTTACTAGTACTACTTTATCAACTACTTGCAACATGTTGCTCAGGCTATAACATTATATACCTACACAATGATAATTTTTTTAAATGGCAAACCTGATGTACTATTATTTGGTCCCTAACTTGGAGTCACGAAGTTGAATCAACTTCTAATGATCTTTCTCATTAATCGTTTTACTTCAGCTATACACTGAATCGAAATTTGGCGACCAATTGTTATATTGTTATAGATTGACTAGCCTCTCTTACATGTGAAAATACGACATTATGATATACAAATATAACGTTTGTGTACTCACTGACTTTAAAGGTCTAGCGATCTTCTGTTTTTCTTCCAAACATTATTTCTTGAACTGTCTTCTCAATTCTAGATGATTTGCATCCAACGACCATCATGGTTTGCCATCTAGAAGATTGTTAACCACTTACTATATATACCTAAAAACATGTCTATTTTTACGAGTACAATAGTTATTACAATACTCAAACAGCATTTTCAACCCTCTAGTAGCTATGGCAAAGCGTCTTTCTTGAGTGGAACCCGATACTAGAGACGCTCATATTGTGACCCGTGCATGACCAGCGAAGCATCCAACACGCGGATCGATGAGAAATCCCGTCACGTTTTTTGTTCTGTCATTGAGTACACTTTGAAACCATGATAAACTTGTCTTAATCAAAAACAAATAGGGTAATCATATTGATGTTTTTGAAGTAGACATCACTTTTAATATTATAAGTACCGTAATCCAATAAGAAGTGTTTATGTTACACTATTAATAGCAACGTTAGTGTCAACAGCAGCTTTGTCAAGTATCACCATCCTCCTTCGTTTGTTATATATTTATATTTCAAGTCTTTCAAAACGGAGTATTTAAAACAAAGAATCAGTAACAGAGAATCTCATTCTACGACATACACAAGCCGTGACTTAAATATATTCAAACTAAGAAACTCGAGTTCTAACTGTCCTACTGTTATAGTATAGTTATGCTCAAAATGATCAACTTTAAGGACTGTAAAACCAGCTAAAACTAGCTGTTTACTTACCTGCAAATAAACAAGAACCTTTGATCAAGAAAGCGTCAATGTTATCACAGACGTTCAATTCATTCATTCCTCGTGGTATTTTTGTGGGCGAGTTGTTGGTCGGGCACATCCTCCGGAAATACTTCAAGATGATAACATTCTGAATTCTAAATAAAGCTATTCTTTTCAGTTCTTTCAGAATTACATAATTATATGTGTTTATTATCGCATAATTCAGAAAATATAATGAGTCATAGCTGGAAGGATTTCTTGTGGAAGCATATTATCAAAATGAAGTAATGTAAATGAAGTTCTGTCAAGCTTTGAGCAGCCGCTAGGGACAACCTGTTATGATGTCATACAAGGCGGTTGTTTCCGTGACAAAGCAAGACGCCCGAGAGAAGATTATATTCCAATTTCATCATTTTAAAAGAATGTACTGTCTGTGTCAATGAAAAACTAATTTATTAACCAAGACTCGACAAGATGACAGTCATGCATCTTGATCAGCAAGGCAGACTTGTACTTAATTGAAGGTTCGAATCATCATTATCATCACCATCATCACC